CAATATTCTGTTTTCTACCCATTGTAACTCTTTTTCTGCCTCATCAGATAATATTCTAGGACTGTTTAGGTCCTTATCACCTTTAAGGGCCATTTTTAAATGCTTTAAGTCATGTCCTTCTACACCAATAATTGTCTGTAATTGAGAAATTTCCCCTAATAATTTCTGAAGAGAATTAAGAGTTTGATACCGATCTCTCCTAATTTGTACCTTTTGAGGTCTGATTCTCTGTAAGTCTATCTTGTAACCTAAATAGTTAATAGAATTTTCTCTTTGTATCTTTTCTGGTGCAATCTGTAATCCCCAACGAGGCAGAACTTCCTTCACCATTTTAAACATACGTTCCAAAGTTTTCTTATTAGAATCTGATAAAAGAATATCATCCATGTAATGATAAATAAGAGATTGTGGAAATTTCTTATGAATTACTCTTAAAGGTTGCTGTACAAAGTGTTGACACAAAGTAGGGCTATTTAGCATTTTTTGTGGCAAAACCCTCCATTGATATCTCCTAACTGGCTGTGAATTATTAAGAGTTGGTACAGTAAATGCAAATTTTTCTCTATCATTTTCTTGTAACGGTATTGTGAAAAAACAGTCTTTTAGATCAATGACTATGATAGGCCATCCTTTAGGTATTAAGGAAGGTAATGGCATTCCAGGTTGCAGAGAGCCCATTGGTTGAATTACCTTATTTATAGCTCTCAGGTCTGTTAGCATTCTCCACTTACCTGACTTCTTTTTGATGACAAATATAGGAGAATTCCAAGGACTCGTAGATTCCTCTATATGTCCAGCATCTAGCTGTTTCTGTATTAACTTTTTTAAAGCCTCTAGCTTCTCAGAGGTCATAGGCCATTGTCCTACCCAAACTGGTTTATCTGTAAGCCACTATAGTATGAAATTACCAATAAGGAGTCAGGTAGAAATATAAGGGTATTTAATAGGAAAAAGCCTTACTTACAGAGCGAACCAGCCAGCCGGTGGTAATCTGTACAGCAAGAAACAAAGAGAAACCGAAACCAAAAACGCAGTCCCCCTACTCACTCTGACCACGCCCTCACAAGCCCTCAGGTACTTCTGTAGCCAGCCCCTAAGAAGGCGTGGCTACAGCTTCCCCTACAGACTGCCTCTCTTAATCTGTCCCTGGGCCCTCCGGTGGCCTCACTATCATCCTTGCTACAGTCTCCACTCCTAAGTCTTCTGGGAACCCAATAGAAGACACAGGCCTGAGGCCAGACAAGGAGTGATATAGGCGACTCCACGGAGCTTCCCAATACACCAGAGTAGGAAAGTAAAAGCAAAGCATCAGGACTACAGCTTAATCAGCAAGAAGGTCCTAGTGGTGCATGCCTTTAATCCCAGCACTAAGGAGGCAGAGGCAGGTGGATCTCTGTGAGTACAAGGCCAGCCTGGTCTACAAGAGCAAGTTCCAGGACAGCTAGGTCTACACTGAGAAACCTGTCTCAAAAAAAACAAAAGAAGGTCCTCGTAAGAAAAAGAGAACCTGAGCAGGGCGGTGGTGACGCATGCCTTTAATCCCAGCACTCAGGAGGCAGAGGCAGGCAAATCTCTGTGAGTTCGAGGCCAGCCTGATCTTCAAAGAGAGTTTCAAGACAGTCTCCAAAACCTACAGAGAAACCCTGTGTCAAAAAAACAAACAAGCAAACAAAACAAAAAAACCAAAAAAATGAAAAAAAAAAGAGAGAAAAAAGAAAGGAAGAAAGAAAAAGAGCCTTGGGTTTGGCAGTAGTACATACCTGTACCCCCAGCACATGGGAAGTGATGGCAGGAAAGTCAGTTCAATCATGTATGTAGTCAGCAAGATGGCTCAGCAGGTAAAGACACCTCACAAGCCTCCTGACCCCAGTCTAATTCCCAGAACCCACATGAAAGTGGGAGGAGAGAGCTGACTCCACACACACTTTCTTGTGCCCTTCTCTTCCTCCCTCCCTCCCTCCCTCCTCTCTCTCCCTCATAAGGTCTTCTCACTTTCTTTTTTAGGCAACAAAATGAAGTTTCTCCACAAGAAATAGGCTTCATCTTTGCTCAAGGAAAACGTCTTCCACTGGGACCATACATTTCTAGCAGAGTTCTGAAAAGCTGTAGGCTGTCCCCAACTCCTCCCAGGATGGGGCCTGTGAGCTGGGCAGGTGGCAGACGCTCAGGACAGCCCTGGAAGGGACCTGCCAACATGCAACTGTTGTTACTGTGCATGGTTCTGGCATCTTTATATCTTGGATATTAAAAGAGAAGAAGAAGAAGAAAGGTGTTTGGGTCTTCATTCTGTCTTGCCAGGCCTAAGAAAAGTTTCTCCTGCCCCCTCTCTCCTTTTCTGGGTCAGCCTGTTGACAGCTGTGGAGCCAGGAGGAGGGAGCAGATAGGAAGAGTAGCTGCCATCCAAGTTATCTTAAAGAGATGTGGCTGCCAACCGCCCCAGTTCTTCCGGACTGGTCTATGACGCCACCTGGTGGCAGAGACTTTGGACTTCACTGTTCCTGACTGGGGTTTTTTTTTGCCCCTTAGAAAGAAGTCACATAGAACTGTTCTTGCCCAACAGCCTGTGGCGTTTAGGAACATATAAAAAAAGAAGAAACCTTGTTAATTGTTAATAAAATGTTTTTGGGGTCCTGAAATTTATATTTCCTGTGGCCTAACCCCACTGCTGTGAACCTATTCCTCATAGCCCACATAGATGAGAGGAGCTTCTGTAATTGGTTCTCTTACTGAGAGGGAGGAACCTGAGGAGACCACAGTCACCTGGCCTGTGGGGGACAGTGAGAGTCTGCAAGTGTCCTGTGTGCAGCCCAGAAAGGTTCTCAGGCTGGCCTCAGGCTACCGCCCCTCCACTGCTGGGCCGCCAGCAGTGTCTGCCACTTCTGGATCACCTGGCCTGGAGCGGGGTAGGACTGATGGCGGTGGTGCGTGGCTGAGGCGCTAGGGGAGTAAGAATGTGAGCATGGGGGCTCACACAAGTGCCTCAGTTTAGTTAACTTTACTGACAGCAATATTCTATGTGTTTTTATATTGCCCCTAAGTGGTCACTTTTAGTATTTTGGAATATACATTCTTTTCTAACTTATTTTCTATTATGCTGTTTCACTTAAGAACTCCAAGTGAATGAATAAATAAATAAATATCTTTATGAACATTCCTAGTGAGTGTATAACATTCTATTTTATGAATGTTTTTGTACTTGACGTAAGCAAAAACAAAAATAAATTTGGGGATATGTGCCAGACCATGTGTATAAAAGAGGCTTTTTTTCAGTGTTCTTTATATTAAAGGGGAAACACGCCGCATGTGTAAAGAATAAAGAATCGGGCCAGGGAGGTGGCTCCTCAGGCGAAGACTCTGCAACCTGACTGCCTGAGGTCAGTCTCTACAAGCCACATAAAGGTGAAAGGATAAAGCCAACTCCACAAAGTTGTCCTTAGACTTCCACATGTGTGTTTTTCTGAGACAGGGTTTCTCTGTGGCTTTGGAGGCTGTCCTGGAACTCACTCTGTAGACCATGCTGGTCTCAAATTCACAGAGATCTCTGCCTCTGCCTCCTAGTTCTGGGATTAAAGGCATGAACCACCACCACCTGGCACACATTGTTTTTTTAAAGCTTTAAAGGATTGGTAGGTTGACTTTTTTTTTTTTTTTTTTTTTTTTTTTTTTTTTTTAAGGGGTTTTTTTTGTTTTTGGTTTTGTGAGACAGGGTTTCTCTGTGGCTTTGGAGGTTGTCCTGGAACTACCTCTTGTAGCCCAGGCTGGTCTCGAACTCACAGAGATCCCCCTGCCTCTGCCTCCCGAGTGCTGGGATTAAAGGCGTTCGCCACCAACGCCCGGCTGGTGGGTTGACTTTTAACATATTCCTAAAATAGAAATGACAAAATGGCTTAGCCCATTGAAACTCTTACCACCACAAGGTGTCCTCCTGCCTCCAAGAGTATCACGCCGTGTGCTTGTGCAACATGCAAGCACACACATGAAGTTAAACATCTAAATAGAAATTAGTATGTGTCTACTATATTACATATACACTAAAATATACCCGTAGGAAGTATACATACAGGCCATGAGAATACAGTCCTATCAAGTGCTCAAATGACAATGAGTATTATCTGTAACCTAATCTATTTATTTATTGGAATAGGATATAAATGCCTCTTCTTGTGTCCTGTGTCCAAATACTTTTCCTCATGCTTTCACAAGTTTAAAGGAAATCAACTAGCATTACTGAGAGCATGCAAAGCAGCAGACTAGACTAAGAACCAAGAAGAATTGAAGCAAAAAAAAAGAAAAAGGGGCAATAACTTGACAATGACTGTTCACAGTCTGGGGCTGATTCTGTGTTCCTGCTTGTTTGTTTGGACAGGGGGAGGGGTAATATTGTCTCACTGTCCTTGAATTTGCCAAAAATCCTTCTGCCTGAACCTTCCCAGACCATGGGACAGACTGTAAATGGATAGTGCTCTTAGTTGAGAAAAACTACTGCTAGAATGCGTGGTGTGGTACATGATATCAGAGGCCCCATAGTCTACACATCTTGCCTCATGAGACTTTCACCCAAAACCATCCTATAGCTCCTATTAAAAGGCATACATTCCGGCGATGGTGGCACACACCTTTAATCCCAGTACTGGGGAGGCAGAGGCCGGTGGATCTCTGACTTCAAGGCCAGACTGGTCTACAGGGCAAATTCCAAGACAGCCAGGGCTACACAAAGAACCATCTCCGAAAAACAAAAAGGAAGAAGAAGGAGGAGGAGGAGGAGGAGGAGGAGGAGGAAGAGGAGGAGGAGGCACACATTCAAGCTGGAGAGAGCTCAGTTGATAAAATGTTTGTCCCACAGCCAATGAGCAGGCAGAAAGTATAGGCAGGGCTACCAAACTAGGAGAATTCGAGGAGGAAGAACACAAGAGAGTGAGTCACTAGAGAGGCGCCATGTAGCTGCCGAGGAAGGAAACCCGGGCATCACTGGTAAGCCAAGACCACATGGAGATACATAGATTAATGGAAATGGGTTAATAATTAAGAGAGCTAGCCAATAAGAAGCCTGAGCCATCAGCCAAACAGTTTACAATTAACATAAGACTCTGTGTGTTTATTTGGGACTGAAGGGCTGAGGTACCAGGTGAGCCAGAAACTTTGATCTACACACATCTGTCATCTCAAAACTGGGGAGAGAGAGACAGGTAGTTCTTGAGGCTAATTAGCTACCTAGCCTTCCCTAATGAGTGAGCTCCAGACCAAAGAGAGACCCCGCCTCAAAAATGAGGTGTCTTTTGTGGAGCCTATGGTCCATACCCTTAATCCCAGCATTCAGGAGACAGGCAGGTGGGTCTGAATTCCAGGTCAATGCCATTTATAAAACAAGTTCCTGAACAGCCAGGGCTACATACAGAGACCCTGTCTCAGAATAGGTAAGGTGTCTCCATAGATCATTTTTACTGCCTATGTCACCAGGCTTCCTTCTGCCATTTGCCACCACGCCACGAACTGCCAGACAGTGGGGCTCATGGTTAAGACTGAGGCAGGAGCATTGCCATGCTACATAGTGAGACCCTATTTTATGGAGAGAGAGAGAGAGGGAGGGAGGAAGAGAGAGACAGAGAGAGAGAGAGAGGCATGCTATGAGGAAAAGCCTAGTCAGTGAAGTGTTTACTGTGCAATCATGAGGACCTGAATTCAGTCCCCAAAATCCATGTTTTAAAAACCCTGGCTTGCAGTGTAGTGGTGGCACACGCCTTTAATCCCAGCATTTGGAGGCAGAGGCAGAGCCAGGCAGATCTCTGTGAGAGGCCAGCCTGGTCTACAGAGCAAGTTCCAGGATAGGCTCCAAAGCAATACAGAGAAACCCAGTCTTGGAAAAAAAAAAAAAAATCCAGGCCTTACACGTGTGTTTGTAATTCCAGCACTGGGGAAGGGGAAACAGGCAGATTCCTCTGCCTCGAGTGGCCACTGAACCTAATAGGTGAGTCCCAAACCAGTAAGAGAGCTTGTCTCAAAACAAACAAACAAACAAAAAAAAACCCAAAAACCAAAAACAAAATGTGCAGGTCTTTGCACATTGTATAAAAGTGTGTCCCTGTTTTACCTCACCTGCCCAAGGCACCTTCTGATTGATTAAGGAGCTGAATGGCCAATCTAGGCAGAGATAGGAACTCTGGGAAGAAATATGACCTGGGAAATTCGCCAGTCATACCCAGGGATGTTGGGCACACGGTGCTGAGGAGAGGTAACGAACCACGTGACGAAGCTAAGATTAATGTAAACGGGTTAATTAAAGTTTTAAGAGTAGTTGAGAACAAGCCTAAGCTAAGGCCAAGCTCTCATACTTAGTAAGAAGTTTCCCTGTCGTTTGGGAGCAGGAGCTGCAAAGAAAGACCAGTTACAAGTGCGCGCGCGCGCGCGCGTGTGTGTGTGTGTGTGTGTGTGTGTGTGTGTGTGTGTGAGCGCGCACTCTCACACACACATACCACATACACTATTCAAACAAACAACAGCAGCCACACATGCACACACAAGTACACATTTGAAACAGACGGGACAAAGGCCAAAAAACAGAGAGGGGCTGGAGAGACTGGTTGAGAGCAGTTGCTGCTCTTGCAGAGGACCTGGGTTCAGCTCCTGTTCCCCAATCAGGAAGTTCACGGTTGCCTCTAACTCCAGCTCCAGGGGGGTGGATGCCCTCTTCTGGGGCACTTGCAGGCATTCACATGGGCACACACACACACACACACTTTTAAAATGTTTGAAAAAAGAGAAAGAATATATACAACCATAAAAACCAATAAAGACAGCCGGGCGTTGGTGGTGCACACCTTTAATCCCAGCACTCGGGAGGCAGAGGCTCTCTTCTTCCCTGGCAAGAAGGTTCCACTATCAACAAGGTGGTGACCCAAGAATACACCATGACATTCACAAGGCACATCCATGGAGTGGCTTCCAGAAGCCAGCCCCTAGGGCACTCAGGGAAATGGGGAAATTCTCCATGAAGGAGATGGGGACTCCAGATGTGTGTGCATTGATACGGGGCTCAATATCGCCATCTGGACCAAAGGAATGAGAAATATCCCACACTGTACCAGTGTATGTTTGTCCAAAAAGAAAAAAAAAAAAAAACGTAATGAGGGTGAGGACTCACCAAACAAGCTCTGCACATTGGTAACATACGTGCCTGTCACCACATTCAAAATCTACAGACACTCAATGCAGATGAGAACTAACCTGCTGTGAGTTCAAGACCAGCCTGGTCTCCAGAGAGAGTGCCAGGATAGGCTCCAAAGTTGCACAGAGAAACCCCGTCTGGAAAAACAACACAAAAACCAACCAAACAAACCAAAGAAGAATGGCATTCCTTCTCAGAGGGAGAGGTCCCATTGTTGCTGTGTGTTGCTTTTTTCTTCATCCCAGGTACCCAGGTATCTGCAGCATGTTACTCAAGCCGGTTACCTCAGGCACTACAATGGGGACCACATGAAGAACCCTAGGGGCAGGGGAGGTTGAAGTCAGAGCAAAGAGGTGCAGAGGGTGAGGGATGAAGGAACCGGCTTCCCTTTTGGCAGCCATAACAGCCGAACACGTGCTTGCCACAAACCTGCCTTGGGCACGTAGA